CAGACATATAGACCAACGGAATAGAATTGAGAGTCCAGTAATAAGCCAATACATCTATGGTCAATTGATTTTCAACAAGGGTGTCAAGATCATTAAAAGGGGAAAAGAATAGTCTCTTCAATAAATGGTGCATCAGCAAGTAGATTTCCACGGGCAAAATAATGAAGTCGGAAGCCTATCACATCACTGAGTACAAAAATGAACTCAAAATGGATCACTGACCTAAACATATCAACTAAAGCCATAAACTCTTAGAAGAATACGTAGGGGTAAATCTTCATGACCTTGGATTTGGCAATAGATTCTTAGATATGATACCAAAAGTATGAGCAACAAAAGAAATGGTAGATAAAATGAACTTCATAAAATTAAAAACTTTTGTACCTCAAAGAACATTATCAAGAAAGTGAAAGACAACATATAGAATAGGAGAAAGTATTTGCAAATCATATACCTTATAAGAGTTTAATATGCAGAATATATAAAGAAATCCTACAACTCAACAACAAAAAGAGAAACAACCCAATTTTATATTATATATATTTTTCCACAAAGAACTCTCATCAAATAGTTATGTACTATAGCCCGATAATTTTACCTTCCTTCATTCTGATATTATTGGTTACCTTAAATTAACCACAGCCATTAAATATAGAGCAAATGTATAGACTTAAAAAAAAAAAAACCAAACCTCTGGTGCTTGCATGAAGACCCTGCTATAAGATATAGGCCAGAGTTTGTATTTTCAACAAAGGTCAGTCTCAGTGCTTCATAGAAAAGGACTGTACTAGCTAGCTACTTCAAACTATTGACATGTCAGAATAGACTCTTGGGTACAGGTTTCTGAGTCGACGCTGCATAAACAAATTTCAGACCATATCAGGGAACCAAGTCAGGATTTCCAGGAATTTCTGTTTTTGAGTTCAGAAGCATATAGCTTTATAATAGCAGACTATTAACCCAAGATCCAGCAGAACACTAATTACATGGGACCAAATAAATTGATGAGGGTAATTGTACTGTGGTTATTTGTTTGGAATAGTTGATGTTGTTTTAATGTTCTATTTCCTGAATATATTAGGAAACCATTCCTCTTTCTTCATAAGCTATTTGTAACTCAAAACAATTTAGTAGATGCTGCTTCTATAAATTAAAATATTTTAAAATGATATGATTCTCACTGACCTCTTCCCCATCCGTCCCCTTACTCCTGAATTCAGAAACTCTTACTAAGTTTCCCTGCTTTTCATAGCAACATAGTTATTTACATTGGTTCTATAAGAATCTGTCCTTTTTTCACCAAGATATAATTGTAAAAATTGATTGTTTAACCAAGGCCCTACCTAGAGTATCATAATTAAAATGATACATAATCTAGTATGACAAGCTACTTTTAAGGGACAAGGCTGACTTTACCTAAACTGTATGGAGCAAATGCTTATAAACCCTCTTAGGGAATTGTTGTGGTATCTCCCAATCTTAAAAGTGGTGGGAAATTCACTTACTTTCTGGCAGGCCAGGAACCTTAGTAAATTTGGAGGACCTTGAGGAGAGATCACTTTCCCCAAATTTATAAGTTCAACAAGTGAAATCTGATGGAGAGAGTTTCTTGGACTTGGTTACCCAGGTTTGGAATAGCATGTAAGAAGAGACTTTTAGAAGTACATTCTGAGATTCTCTGTAAAAACATCTAGACAGAAGTTAAATCTGTGGACTTAGTAGCTGTTCAACACTATATATCTCTAGATTTGCAAAGTAAACCCAAGGAGGCCTATTTGGTTAATTAATACTTGTGCTGTACCTATGTAAATAATCTGGGCAAATCTAATGAAGCGAGTCTGTTTTGTGATAATGAATACTATTTCTCTGAGGTTATTATGAGGGTGGTAGATAGAAGACTATCCAAGAAAAATTATGAAAGACTTCAAAACAGGGGGAAAAATTACTGTGTGTTCTATCTAGCATACCCTTCAGAGTTACCTCTACCTAAATTATCTTTGAGTCATTTTCAACTCAGTAAGTTGTAGAAAACTGTTAGTAATGCAAATGATTCTTGTCTATAGAAATGCAGGTGAATTGTGTTCCATGGAGATGAAATTGGTCATTTCTCTGTGGATATTGACCAGTTTTGCATCTAGTTATAAATTTATTTCAACATTCTTAATTGCCCATGTAGGTGTTTTCTCTTTTGAACCAATCACAACATCTTACTGGTTCCCTTGCTAATTAATGAGTTAAGAAAATCCTTGACATGTGTTCAAAAAAACAAAATAATAGAAATAGAAGTCCAAATTTTAAAAATAGAGATGTGGAAGACAAAACAATAGGCACGAAAGATTGGCAAAGGAGATCCAAAACATGCATAGAGTCTCCAAAGGAAAAAATTAAAATGATGGAATAAAAACAAATGGCTAAAAACATAAATCCAGAAAATTTTCTAGAAATAGAGGAATACTTGAATCTACATGTTGGAAAAGTACACTATGTTCCAGAAAAAACTAACACAGAATATTCAACACTAACCCATTTCCTAGTAGGGTATGTTCTGTTACCATACATATATATATTTTGATTAATGGATATTACTTTTAAAATTAGTTTTAGATTCACAGTAAAACTGTACAGAAAGTACATAGAGTTCCCACATACCCTTGCACTTCCTCCCTCAGCATCCCCTACTATCAACGTCCCACATTGATTTGGTACATTAGTTAGAATTGATGAACCAACATTGATGCATCATTTTCAAAACCCATAATTTACATTAGGGTTCACTCTACATGTTATACATTTTATGGGTTTTGACAAATGTATAATGACATGTATCCACCATTATAGTATCATACAGAATAGTTTCCCTGCCCTAAAAATTCCCTGTGCCCCGCCTAATCTTCCCTCCCTCCCTTCCCCCAAATTCCTGGCCAACCACTGATGTTTTACTGTTTCCACAGTTTTGCCTTTTACAGAATATCAAATATTTGTAATCATACAATATGTAGCTTTTTCCACATTGGCTACTTTCACTCAGTAATACGTATTTAAGGTTCCTCCATATATTTTGTGGCTTGATAGTGCTGAATAATATTTCATTGCATGACTGTACCACATTTTAAAACATCCATTCAGCTGTTAAAGGACATCTTGGTTGCTTTCAAGTTTTGGCAATTGTGAATAAAGCTGCTATAAACATCCCCATGCAGGTTTTGGGGTGGTTATAGGTTTTCACTCTTTTAGGTAAACACCAAAAGGAGTGTGATTGCTGGGTCATATGGTAAAACTACGTTAATTTTGTAAGAAACACCAAACTGTCTTCCATAGTGGCTATACCATTTTGCATTCCTGCCAGCAACGAATGAGAGCTCCTGTTGCTCTGTATCCTCACCAGCATTTGGTATTGTCAGTGTTTTGGATTTGGTCATTCTAATAGATGTGTAGTAGTATCTTATTATGGTTCTAATTTAAAATTCCCTAATGACTGTGTGTTTGTGTGTGTTCTAGGAACACAGCTAGACTGTATCTGTGTGTATATACACACACACATAACTAGACTATACACATAGATATATATTTTTATCTACATATTTATATCTCTGTCTCTATATCTATAGCTAGTCTAGTTGCATATATATATGTATTTATATAAACATATAACTAGATTGTAGATATAGATCTATATATACATAGGGAGAGAGAGATCTTTATCCCTCTCTATATATATAGTCTAGTTGCATTCCTAGAAAGAAGAAATTGATTTTTTTAATGGACAGCTAGTATTCTGACATACTTTTGTTAATAAATGTCATTGAGATGATGAAGTTTGCTCTGAGTACTGCTTTAGCACTTTAGATTTTGGTATGAGGTATTTTAATTATCATTATTTTCTAGGTATTATGTAGCTTTGGTTTTTAAAAATGTCGAGGTGGTAGGGTGCTTTTTATGATTTCATTATTAATATCTAATTTTTGCATTGTGATCAGATAATGTCTATTTTATTTATGTGTCTTAGAATTTACTGAGGTTTTCCTTGTCATCAATTTTGTAAATATTCAAAGGGCATATAAAAAGAATATGTGTTTTCTGTTTTCAGGATACAGAGTATATTTTCAGGCTATGGAGTATATTTCCATTAAATCTTCTATAGTAAGTATTTTATTTAGGTCTTCTCTATCTTTACTTTTTGTTTTCATTCATTTAAATAACTGTCATAGCTTGAAAGAGGTAAATTAAATTTTATATGTTTATGTTCCTCCTTATAATTCCTTTAATTTGATACCAAAATCTGTCAAAGACATGACACACGCACAAAAAGAAAATGACAGACCAATAATTTCTAAATGTTAGGAAACAGAATTCATCAACATATTAAAATAAGAACACACCATGACAAAATAGGGTTTATTGCAAGAATGCAATGATGACTTAGTTTTAGGAAATCTATTATTATAATTCAATGTATTAATAGTTCAACAGAGAAAAATCATATGATTACCTCTATAAAATCTGAAAAGGCATGTAATTCAATTCAATATCCACTGATTTTAACAAAATCTAAAACAGGAAAAAATGGACACTATAAAAATGTCCATCTAAACCTAAAAGACAATATCATCTTTAATGAGAAAACAGTATCAAGCTATTATATACTTCAAAAGGTTGACTACTATTTAGATCATTTTATAAGAAAATATTAGCAATATCTGATATCTTGACTGTGATTTGCCTACATTTATCAGAGTTAAAGCTTGATTAAATTAGACATTGAATCTAACAACCAAAGAACAATAATGACATGTTGAACAATAAAATATTAAATGTTATATTTTCATAAAAAGAAAATTAAAAAATATTCTTACTCCAAGCAGTGTGTTATGGATTCAAAATACTGACATACAGTGGAGAAAAATCAGTTCTTAAATAATCATTTGGTGACAAAAACTTGGTAATTCAGATTCTAAACTCCCTTCATAACTGTGTTATCGAACTTCCAGTTTTTACCATACCTGTTTGTTTCAGGAGATTCCAGATGTCGTTGTATTTATGGATCTGCTCAAGTGCACGATTTAGTAACCTGGTCTATTTGGCAAAAATGCAGCAAGATAATTAGTCTCAACAAAAAAGAACTTTAATCAAAGTAATATAATCTCATATCATTTTCATTAAAAACAGCTAAAAATAAAATGATAGAAAAGTGATAGTTTAAACTGAACATTTTGGGTTTATATAGAAATATTAGCCTCTATTTGTACTTTTCCTTATTTTCCCCAGAAAATGAGGATTAAATGGAAAACCTTGAGCACTGTCAATTTTTTTTAATAATCTAGAACAGAAGAGAAATGCTTTCAGAATGGTGGTGTGAGGAGCTCCATGGATCCTCTCCTCAGCCAAATAATCATAACTGGTAAGAATTATAAAACATCATATAAAGGCTCAGAAAATTACCCTGAGGGCATAGAGAAAATGGAGAAATGTTTATTCCAGGAAATTTACTAATACCCAGTAAGAACAGTGAGAGGCGGTGACCCATTCACCAACCCCCAGCTCAGTGTGATGTAAGCACTACTTTAGGTAGCTGTGGCCAAGGAGCTGGGACTCTCTCTATCCCTAGCTTCCAGACTAGGGATTCCCAGGAGGGCCAGATTTACCACACTTCTCGTCACCCCAGGTCTGTATTGTAGAAGGTCTATTATAAAGAAGCATAGCTGAGAGGCCTTGGAGCTGTCCTTCTCTGCCCAGCTCCCATTTGTAGGGCAAAAGCTCTACCCCAGGAATGGTAGGTTCAGAATACAGGGTCTCAGTTGCTCTCATCTCAGCTTGCTTATAAGGATAATTTCCATGCTGGGAGAGGCAAGCCAAGAATATCAGGGACTACAACTGTTACCTAGTCCTCCACTCAAAGAGCTGGACTATCACTCTGAGAGAAGTGGGCCACTATCCCTGCCCCTAGCTCTAAAACAGTGCTTCAGAGTTTCTGCCCAGTATGAGAGGCAGGTCATTAGGAGAGTGAACTTGTAGCACTCCCTAAAGGAAATGACTAATTGGAACAGAGCCTGGGGAAGTTCAAGTCTAAGGACACTGTAAAAAATCATGGAGATTCTGGTAATGAGCAAATTATGAGGAAGCTAGTAGCTCAATGATATCAACAAACAAAACAAAGGAACAACTAGAAGTTCACAGAGTGAACCCAGTGAAGAGATAACTAAGAAGATCGCTACTCCTTCAAAGGGGCCTTCTTTTTTTTTTTTACTTTATAAACAAACTTTTTTATTTTTTAAAACTTTTGACTCTTTTGTAATAACACTTAGCCTAAAATACATATTGTACAGCAGTACAAAAACATTTTCTTTCTTTCTTTTTTTTTTATATCCTGGTTGTGCTAGTTTTTTTTTAAATTTTATTTTATTTTATCATATTATGGGGGTACAAATATTGTTAGGGTTACATATATTGTCCCTGCCATTCCTACCCCCACCCCCTGCCTTGCCAAAACATCAAGCGTGTCCTACCCCCAGGTGGTGCGCATCGCACCTATTTTGTAAGTATAAATTCTTCCCCTCCTCCCCCCTCCCATCTGCCACCACCCGTTAAAAGTTTGTTTGTTTTTTCTTTTTTCGACCTTTGGGTTACATTGTATATCTTTGCCTTATTTTAATGGAACAGGCTGTGAAGCAATTTATGCCCAAGAGTATTTTCAAAACACACATACATACAAACAGACCAATCACCTAGCAATTAGTCAAGACTAACAGCTGGACGTGATAACAATAGAAGACCATCTAGAGCTTAAATCTACAGGGAGATCAGGGAAAGAGATAGTAAAAAAGAACACTGCTAAAACCACTGTCATCCGTTATTAGCGGGGAAGGTCAGAGTGACTTCCCAAGCACAGACTGTGCCTTCTGAGGAGTGATAGTAGAGTCTAAATATTATGGGAGAAATAGATGTAACTGAACTAGCCCAGCCAATTCACTAAACAAATAAACAAGCAAACATTAACAACAACACGACCCACACAGAGATAAGTACCCAAAGATGCTATAATATATTATCTAAAATGCCCAGTTTTCAACAAAAAATTACAAGATATACAAAGAAACAGGAGAATGTGACCCATACACAGGAAAAAAAGCAGGAAATAGCAACTGACTTTGAAAAGGCCCAGATGTTAAACTTAGCAGACAATTTTTTAGTTCTTAAATTTTATGCTTGTATTTGATTATAGATGTCAGTGACATTTCATAGTTTCAAAAGTCCTTGCTGCTCTGAGAAGTGTAGATTCTAGTGAAAATTACATAGTCATAAGAGAAATTTGTTTTTGTTTTTGTTTCCTTTTTTTTTTTTTTAAAGTTGTGGTATTATTGGTTCTATGCTCCCTGGAATATTACTGCTTTGTGAAAGTCCAGACTGAACGCAGCACCCTCTGTGTACCTAGTACATTTATAAACCGGGTCTCTCACTACTTGATATTTTTGCATTAGTTAAGATAGAAATTTGATAGCTCAGATAGAGGAGAGGTGAAGTCTGCTGCTAGAAATGTCTGCACTAAGTGCCATACTCGTCTGGGTAAGATTTGGGAAACATAACCTCTGTACATAAAAAAAAAAATCAGTTAAACATCACATAGTAGACAGCCATTAAATTATAAAAAAATTAATTTATGAAGAAAGACCTTTTGTACAGATTGAAAAAAAAAGATTTTCATAGAGATATCTATATGATCAAGAGAGTTAAGTTTTTATCTTTGTTTTACTAGTGCCACAAACTTGCCAGTGGTAACTTATTTGTCCGGTTCAAGATAACTCTGTAGTTTTCTTTCCTAGGACTTGTTGTTAAATGCCAAAAGACATTTTTGAACTGTACATTTGATCATATTGTTAGCTTTTCTGTTTTATTTATTTTGAGAACCTTTGAATAAAAAACATCTGAAATTAAAAAAAAAAAATTGCTGGGCATGGTGGCAAGCATCAGTTACTCAGGAGGCTGAAGCAGAAGGAGGATTGCTTGAGCCCAGGATTGGAGGTTGCAGTGAGCTATGATGACACCATTGCACTCTACCCCAGGGCAATAGAGTGAAACCCTATCTTGGGGGGACGGGGGAAGAAAAAAAAGAGAGAAGGGAGGTTTGACAATAGTGTTTATTAAATGTAGAATCACAATGAAGAGATAGAAATTATAAAAATCAAATGAAAATTCTGGGATTGAGGTCTATAATAACTGAAATAAAAAATTCACTAGAGGGGATCAACACTAGGTTTAAGTTGGCAGAAGAAGGAATTAGCAAACATCAAGATAGATCAATACAGATTATGCAATATGAAGAGCATAATGAAAAAGAAGAAAAATAAACAAAGTCTCAGTAAAATGGGGACACCACTAAGCACACCAACATATACACAATGGAATTACCAAAAGGATAGAACAGAGGAGAAAAAAGTAGTTTTAAAAAATGGCTAGAAAACTCCCAATTTTAATGAAAAACATTCATCTACACATCCGAGAAACCCAACAAACTCTAGGTAGGATGAATCAATGCAGAGATCCAACCCAGATACATTACAGTTAAAACAATAAATGACAAAGACAAAGAGAAAAATTTGAAAGTAGCAAGAGAAAAATGATTCATTACATAGATGGGAATCCCATTTAAGATTAGCAACTGATTTCTCATTAAAAACAGTAGAGGCCAGAAAGCAGTGGGATACAAAGTGATCAAAGAAAATAACAGTCCACTTATAATCTATTACCCAGCAAAACTATCACTCAGAACTTAAAGTGAAATAAAGACATTCCCAGATAAACAAGAGCTGAGAAAATTTGTTGCTAAGAGAAGATCTTTCAGGCTGAAAACAAGTGACACCAGACAGTAATTTGAATTCAAATGAAAAAATAAAGAATTGAATAAAAAAAAAATAAAGTACCAATAAAAGTAACCATGTAATTATAAAAGATAGTATAAATGCAGATTTTTTTCTTCTTTTAACTGTTTTAAAGCAATTGCATTATACACACACATATATGTGTATATATGTATTGTTGGGCCTATAACATATAGAAATGTAATATATTTGACAATAACAGCACGAAAGAGGCAGGTGGGAAGAAAGCTGTTTTGGAGTAAGGAAATGAGACCATATGGTAACTCTAATCTACAGGAAAAAAATGAAGAGAAGCAGAAATAGTAAATAAGATGGTTGATATAAAAAGCCATAATATATACTTCTTCTCCTTTCTTCTGTAAGTTTATTTAAATGACAAAAAATTATATTAAGTGATACAATAAGATGTATTATTGTGTTCGAAACACATATAGATGAAATATGTATAACAATAGTACAAAAAAGAAAAGAGAGCTAGTAGGAATAACATTTCTATGTCTTACTGGAATAACATTCATAACTTGAGGTAGATCCTGATAAATTAAGATCTATATTGCAAGCTGAGCATGGTGATACATGCCTGTAGTCCCAGCCCTTCCAGAGGCTAAGGCAGGAGGATTACTAGAGTCCAGGAGTTCAAGACCAGCCTGAGCAACAAAGCAAGACTCTGTCACTCTTTATCTTTTTATTTTAATTTTTTTAGAGATGAAACCTAGCTCTGTTGCTCAGGCTGGAGTATAGTGGCACGATCATAACACACTGCAGCCTTGAACTCCCGGGCGCAAGTGACTCTCCCATTTCAGTCTCCGAAATAGCTAGGACTATAAGCGCATGCCACCATACCTGGATACCTTTTAAAATAATTTTAGAGATGAGGTCATCCAGGTTGCTCTCAAACTCCTGGCCTTTAAGTGATCTTTCCACCTCAGCCTCCTGAGCTACCGCACCTCGTGAGACTCCATCTCTTTAAAAGAAAAAAAAAAGAGATTTCCATTGTAAGCCCTAGAGTGACCACTAAGAAAGTAACTAAAAAAATATTGTGTAAAAAGTCATTAAAGGAACTAAAATGTTACTTTAGAAAACATCCACAAAAGAAAGGCATAAAGGAGAAAAACAGGAACAAAAAATATAAGAGACATACAGAAACTAAAAAGTAAAATGGCAGAAGTAAATTCAACCACAAAAATATTAACAT